ACCCTAACCAGCAGCAACCTGCTATCCTTCCCTCTCCATTACTTCCCTCATTATTTTCTTCAGCACATTCAATGCTTTCTTTTTTACTTTAATCATTTTACTTTATTATTTGTAGCCCTCCCCCACCACTGGATGAAAGCTCCTTCAGAAACAAACTCTTTCCCCCTCCTCCCAATAAGCCTTTTGCACCTCTAAGAAGCAAACTCTTACCTGCTGGTTCATAGTGTCTACATAGATTACATATATGTACTGTGCATTTTAGCTGCACAATAATTGAATATTGAATGATCAAATGGTAAGTCATCTGTACCAGCTGTGTCTCACTTTCCACATCTGTCACATGAAGGGGTCAAACTAAGTCTTTTCCTGGTCCTAACACTATGACTAAGCAGTACAGTAATACAGCAAAACCATGTCTCAAAAGCATCTTCCTTCATAGAAAAGCAGTGGACCTGGATTCATTAATGTTAGGATGCCCTCTGCTGGAACATATAAGCATTTCACAAAATATATTTTACAAACATTTTAAGTCTTTTGCCGCTAAGACTGATTTTTAAATTCACCACTCCAGAAATACAGAGTGGATAATAACTGACAGTAATAAGGTTGCATCTTCCTCCTCTTAAATACAGCATATTTTCAAAACATGTAGTATTTTGGCCACTCCTGATCATTTTCTTGTCCAGCTTTTCTAAATACCCTTCTAATATCAATACTAATACTATACCCATTAAGGCATAGTTTACATGAAGTCTTTTCACCATGGTGCTAAATGTTCAAATGTAAATAAGAAAGTAAATGATATAAAATGTAGCCCAGCTTTAAGTCATTTAGTAGCCCAGAAAAATCTCAAAACCTTAATTGGATTAAGATGATCCAGGATTGCTAGTGCCCTCAGGCAGCTGGCAGAAGCAAAAAAAATCCTCTCTAAATGAAGATAACATTATACAAGACCCTAAATTATTTCTAAAAATAATTTTCCAAACACATCATTCAGCATTCATTCAAATATAACAGTACACCAAGAAAACAGCCAACATGAACAAGAAATGGCATTAACAACATGTAACAAAAACAGACTCACTGGAACTTAAGAGCAAATTACTAGATAAATTATAAAATCATATTTGTTAAAAAAATTTTTTTTCCCACTACTGGAAATTGTTCAGTGCAAATTTGGGACACACACACAAACAGAAATTCTAAAAAAAATACTTGGTTAGTAGTTTTGGTTAAACTGTTAACAATTATCAAAATTAAGAAGTCAATGAACAGATTTAAAAGCACCTTAATAAATAAAGAAAAAAACAAAGAAAAGAGAACACACACACACACAAAAAAACACTTTAAACACAGCTGATATGGTTTGGCTGTGTCCCTACCCAAATCTCATCTTGAATTGTACTCTCATAACTTCCACATGTTGTGGGAGGGACCTGGTGGGAGGTAACTGAATCATGGGGGCAGGTCTTTCCTGTGCTGTTTTTGTGATAGTAAATAAGTCTCATGAGATGTGGTGGTCCTAAAGAGGTCTCTCACTGTTTGCCTCCTGTCATACAGATATGACTTGCTCCTCCTTGCCTTCTGCTATGATTGTGAGGCCTCCCCAGTCACGTTGATCTGTAAGTCCATTAAAACCTCTTTTTCATCCCAGTCTTAGGTATGTCTTTATCAGCAGTGTGAAAACAGGCTGATATAGTAAATTGGTACTAGGAGTGGGGTGCTGCTGAAAAGATACCTAAAAATGTGGAAGTGACTTTGGAACTTGGTAACAGGCAGAGGTTGGAACAGTTTGGAGGGTTCAGTAGAAGACAGGAAAATGTGGGAAAGTTTGGAACTTCCTAGAGATTTGTTGAATGGCATTGCCCAAAATGCTGATAGTGATATGGACAATAAAGTCCAGGATGATGTGGTCTCAGATGGAAATGAGAAACTTGTTGGGAACTGGAGCAAAGGTGACTCGTGTTATGTTTTAGCAAAGAGACTAGTGGCATTTTGCCCCAACCTAGAGATTTGTGGAACTGTGAACTTGAGAGAAAAGATTTAGGGTATCTGGCAGAAGAAATTTCTAAGCAGCAAAACATTCAAGAGGTGACCTGGGTGCTGTTAAAGGCAATCAGTTTTATAACAAAAGAATATAAAAGTTTGGAGATCATTTTAGAGCTTTAAGATCTGACTGCCCTGTTGGATTGCAGACTTGCGTGGGGCCTACAGCCCTTTCTGGACAATTTCTCCCATTTGGAATGGCTGTATTTACCCAATATCTGTACCCCCCATTGTATCTAGGAAGTTGATTTTACAAGCTCATAGGCAGAAGGGACTTGCCTTGTCTCAGATGAGACTTGACTGTAGACTTTTAAGTTAATGCTGAAATGAGTTAAGACTTTGGGGGACTGTTGGTTAAGGCATGATTGGTTTTGAAATGTGAGGACATGAAATTTGGGAGGGGCCAGGGGCAGAATGATATCGTTGGGCTCTATGTCCCCACTCAAATCTCACCTTGACTTGTACTCCCATAATTCCCATGTTTTGTGGGAGGCACCCAGTGGGAGGTAATTCAATCATGGGGGCAGATCTTTCCCGTGCTATCCTTGTGATAGTGAATAAGTCTCACAAGATCTGATGATTATAAAAAGAAGAGTTCCCCTGCACAAGCTCTCTCTTTTTTTGCCTACTACCACCCATGTAAGACGTGACTTGCTCTTCCTTGCCTTCCACCATGATTGTGAGGCCTCCCTAGTCACATGGAACTGTAAGTCCATTAAAACCTCTTTCTTCCCAGTCTTGGGTATCTCTTATCAGCAGCATGAAAACAGATTAATACAATAGCTAAAGAAGAAAATCACAAGTTGAAAGACAGAAGAAACTACACAGAAAGGTGGTACATACACAATAGATGGTAAGAGACACACAAGTGAGGAAGACTAACATAAGTAAGTGGAGCCATGGAATGAAAAGAGAGACTGCAGCAGAAGCAAAATCTAGTGGCTAAGATTTCCCAGAATTGATGACATCAATCCACATAGTCAAGATGTATAAAAAATCCTAAACAGAATAAATAAATAAATATAAATCAGAGCCAAATATATCACAAAAACTAAAGAGAAAAATCAATTGAGTGGGGAGAGGGGGTGGGCCATATGGGAGAGAATCTTCAAAAGAGTAGCTGTTAGATGAAATAGCTGAATTCTCAATAGTAACAGTGGAATGCAGAAGACAGTGGACCAGTACCTTCAACACGAGGAAAGAATAACCACCAAGCCAGAATTCCATACTCAGTGAAAACTTCAAGGTTGAAGTTTAAATAAAAATATTCATAGACAAGCAAAAACAGAATTTCCTACTAGCAGATCCATGCTAAAGCAAATACTAAGAGGTGTTTTTAGGCAGAAGAAAAACCATCTCAGGAGACCAGCTGGAGATGCAGGGGAAAAAAATTAACATTACATATAAAATAAAAATATTGTCTTGTGGTGTGTAAAATACAGTTGTCTTTTCAAATCCTCATGAGATTGGTTCCAGGATCTTGACTTTCCCCTCCCTTCCCCCAAGACCCCGTGGGCAAGGGTACCAAACTGTACAGATGCTCAAGTCCCTGAAATAAAATGGTGTAGTATTGCACATAACCTATGCATGTCTTTCCACACCACCTGTAGGTTAAGTACAATACCAAATACAATGTAAATGCTATATACATAGTTGCTATATTGTATTGGCCTTTTACTGGTATTATTTTTAATTGTTACATTGTTATTTTTTATTTTTTCCCTAATTTTTTTTATTCAAAATTGGTTGAATGTGCAGATGTGGAACCCACAGATAAAGAGGGCCAACTGTACACCAAAAATGAATACAAAGGACAACAATAGCATACATGGTGGGTGCATGAAATTCAAGTGTTCTAAGAAATTTGTATTACCCTGTAGAGGTTAAAAGTACCAAGTATATACAACTTTTTGCTTTTCCTTTTTAACTGGACACAGGCTCTCACTCGTCACCCAGGCTGTAGTGCAGTGGTATAATCATAGCTCACTGCACCCTCGAACCTCTGGGCTCAAGTGATCAGTCATCCCACCACAGCCTCTCAAGTACTTGGGACTCAGGAGCACATCACCACACCCAGCTAATTTTTTTTTTTTTTTGGTAGAGATGGGGTTTCACTACATTGCCCAAGCTGGTCTCAAACTCCTGGGCTCAAGTGATCCGCCCACCTTGGCCTCCCAAAGCGCTGGGATTACAGGCATGAGCCACTGAGCCCAGTCAACATAAAACATTGGTAAGTAAAGGATGTATGCTATAATTTCTACAGGTATCACTAATAGTAAAAGCTTATAACTTTCAAACTAACAAAAAAGAAAAAAAATACAAAATTTTCAATTACTACAAAAGAAAATGCCAAGAAAGAAAAAAGTAAACAAAACAGATAGGGTAAATAGAAAGTATATAGAAAAGAAGGTAAATTTAAATCTAAATATGTGTCAGCCATCCTGTTTAATGCAAATGGAATAAATGCTTTAGTTTAAAGCCAAAACACGGGCAGAACAGATGAAAAAATAAAACCAAAGCCATAACACTAATAGTAAGTGATCCCAGACCTCAAGTCTCAGTATAATACAGGCTCAAGTTATAACTGCAAGGCTCAAAAAAACTGTGATAAAAGCCAGGCATGGTAACTCACACCTGTAATCCTAGCACTTTAGGAGGCCAAGACAGAAGGATCACTTGAGCCCAGGAGTTTGAGGCCAGTCTGGGTAAAACAGTGAGATTTCTGTCTCTATAAAAAATACAAAAATTAGCCAGATGTCGTGGTACATGTCAGCAGTCCCAGCTACTCCAGAGACTGAGATGGGAGGATCACTGGAGCCCAGAAAATCGAGGCTGCAGTGAGTCACGATTGTGCCACTGCACTCTAGCCTGGGCAACAGAGTGAGACCCTGTCTCAAAAAACAAAACCAAAAAAATTAAAACTAAAGAAGAGCTTCTAATCCAAACAACATTACCTGCAGCAGCCAGATGAGCTGTTACCTCATCAGCTGCTGTGGAATTGAGTATATCTGAGTCATCGTAAGAGGTGTCCTCGGGAGAAGAAGGCGAGTCTTCATCAGCACTCAGCATACTGTGCTCAGTGTAAGTAGCCACATGGACCTGCTGCACCTGCTGGGCCACTGCGTGTGCTTCTATGGTAGCCATATGTTCAGTTTGGGTCACTCCGTGTTCCTCCATGAAGTTCTACTATAAGATGAAAAAGGAAAAGAACAGGAATCAGTGTGTAATATAACACAATGCTTAAAGATATTTTCTTCAAGAGCAGAGGAACCTTGACAAACTTTCCATTTTACTACTTATTGTGCCACACCAAGTCATAGGAAATGGGAAGCACTATTCAAATGTGACATAAAAATGGTCCAGTGGTGTTCCTTATATGAAACCATTTTGATGGAAATCGCTGTACTAATTTTATGCCTCAGATCACAAAATAACAGATACCCTTAATAATAAAAAGACATTCAAATATAATAATAAAAAGATATTTAAGATATCTCAGTGACTAGCATTTGACCTTGTGGGCATAAAAACACTTAGTAAATAATTGAAATACTTAACATTTTCTTTATATGTCAAAGACAAGTGAGGGTCAAACAACTTTCTTCCCAAAAATTCAAATTGGTTTTCTGCTTATAAAACTGTGCTTCTTGCAGGTATGGTGGCCCACGCCTGTAATCCCAGCACTTTGGGAGGTCCAGGTGGGTGGATCACCTGAGGTCAGAAGTTCAAGACCAGCCAGGCCAACATGGCTGGTGGTGGGCACCTGTGATCCCAGCTACTTGGGAGGCTGAAGGAGAATTGCTTGAACCCAGGAGTCGGAGGCTGCAGTCAGCCACGGTTGTGCCATTGCACTTCAGCCTGGGCAACAGAACCAGACTCTATCTAAAAAAAAAACATCAAGACTGTGCTTCTTGTAAACCTCAAAATGATAATTTATAAAGCAGTAAGAATAAAAGTTCGCTCTTCTATCACACTTATAATCTCTACTCCCCCTCACCCCAGAAGTTCATTATTTTTGAAAAATAAATTTCGAGCATACATACATAGATTTAAAATAAAAACAAGTTCATACTATATATATTGTTTGTCCTTTTCATATTACAATATATCTGGACATTGTTACATGTCAAAACATACAGATCTACCATATCTTTTTAAACAGCTGCATAATACTTTATTATATGCATGTGTCGTAATTTATATGCCAGTTGCCTGCTGATCAAATGTTTCCAAGTTTTTGCTATTATAAAACAAACATCAATGCAGTATAAAAATGTGTCCTTGTATATACAATTTTACATATTAATTCCTAAAAAAAATAAAAAATAGAACTACCACATGATCCAGCTATTTCACTGCTGGATATATACACCAAGAAACTGAAAGCAGGGTGGGTCTTGAATAGACATCTGTACGCCCATGTTCATAGCAGCTTTATTCACAAAAGCCAAAATGTGGAAGCAACCCAAGTAACCATCGATGAATACATGGGTAAAAAAATGTGGTATACACATACTGCCTATTATTCAGTCTTAAAGAAGAAAATGCTAATTAGAAAGAGGGGACCTTTCTCGACCTGATAAAGAACAGCCTCCAAAAACCTACTATTAACATCATACTTAATTGTGAAAAACTGGAAGCTTTCCCATTAAGATAAGGAAGAAGGCCGGGCATGGTGGCTCATGCCTATAACCCCAGCACTTTGGGAAGCTGAGGCAGGTGGATCACCTGAAGTCAGAAGTTTGGGACCAGCTTGGGCAACATGGTGAAACCCCGTCTCTATTAAAAATACAAAAAAATAGCTACTTAGGAGGCTGAGGCAGGAGAATCGCTTGAACCCAGGAGGTGGAGATCGCAGTGAGCTGAGATTCTGTCTCAAAAAAAAAAAAAGATCAGGAAAAAGACAAGAAAATCTCCTCTCACCACTTCTTTTTAATATTGTACTAGAAGTCTTAACTAATGCAATAAGATTTTTAAAAAGAAATAAAGAGTACCCTGAATGGGAAGGAATAAACAGAATTGTCTTTTTTCATAGATGACATTATTGTTGATGTAGAAAATCCAAAATAATCAATAAAAAATTCCTGGAACTAGTAATTACAGCAAGGTTGCAGGGACAAGGTTAACTGTTTTCCTATATTCTAGAAATGAATAAGCAGAATCTGAAATACAATACCATTTACATTTGCACCCATCAAAAAGTGAAATACGAAGGTATAAATCTAACAAAATATGTACAAGATCTATATAAAAAAGAAAATACAAAATTCTGATGAAAGTAATCAAAGAAAAACTAAATAAAGAGAGATATTCCATGCTAATGGATAGCAAGACACAATACTGTCAAAATCTCAGTTCTTCTTCTCTAGATTAAACAACAAGTTATTTTGTGGATATCGACAAACTGACACTAAAGTTTACATGGAGTGGCAAGAGACCCAGAACAACCAGAAAAAACATTGAAAGGGAAGAACAAAATCAGAAGACTGACACCACCCAAACTTTAAGACTTACCATAAAGCTACAGTAATCAAGATGGTGTGATGTTGGTGAAACAACAGACAAATAGACCAATGTAACAGAAGAGGGATCCCAGAAACAGACCCAAATAAATACAGCCAGCTCATCTCTGAGAAAGAAGAAAAGGCAATACATTAGTTTGGCAAAGTTAGTCTTTTCAATGAATGGTGCTGGAACAAGTGAACAACCACACACCAAAAAAATGAAATCTAGACACAGATCTTATACCCTTCACAAAAATTAGTTCAAAATGGATCATAAACCTAAATGTAAAATAAAAAAAACTATAAAACTCCTATAAGATAACATAGGAGAAAATCTAGTTGACCTCGGGCATGGCAATGACTTTTAAGATACAATGCCAAAAGCACAAACCATAAAAGCAAAAATTGTTAAGCTGGACTCCGTTAAGAAAAAACTTCTGCCCTGTGAAAGACACTGCCAAAAGAATGAGAAGACAAGACACAGACAGGGAGAAAACATTTGTAAAAGATGAATCAGAAAAAGGACTGTTATCCAAAATAAGGAATTCTCAAAACTCAACAATAAGAAAATGAACCCAATGAAAAAGTAGGCAAAATGCCTGACGAGATTTCACCAAAGAAGATATACAGATGGCAAATAGGCATATGAAAAGATGCTCAACATCATATGTCATGGGAGAATTACAAATTAAAACAATGCGATATCACTATACATCTATTTAAATATCGAAAACTCAAAACACTGACAACACCAAATGCTGCTGAGAATGTGGAGCAACAGGAACTCTCATTTATTGCTGATGGGAATGCAACATAGTACAGACGCTTTCGAAGACAGTGTGGCAGTCTGTTACAAAATTAAACATACTCTTACCATACAATCCAGCAATTTATCCTCCTTTGTATTTACCCAAAGGAGTAGAAAATTACACCCACACAAAAACCTGCACATGGATGCTTATAACTTTATTAATAATTGCCCAAACTTGGAAGCAACCAAAATGTCTTTCCATAGGTGAATGGGTAAACTGTGGTGCATCCAGACAATAGATTATCGTTCAGCACTAAAAAGAAATGAGAAAATGTAGAAGTTTAAATGCATATTGCTAAGTGAAAAAAGCCAATATGAAAAGGCTACACACTTATGATTCCAATTACATGGCTTTCTGGAAAAGGCAAAAAACTATGGGGATGGTAAAAAGATCAGAGGTTTCCAAGGATTAGGGGGAAGGGAAGGATGAACAGGCAGAGCACAGAGGATTTTCAGGGCAATGGAACTACTCTACTGTGATACAATAATGGTGGATATAAGTTATTATACATTTGTTCAAATCCATAGAATGTACAACACCATGAGGGAACTCTAATGTAAACTACAGACTTTGGGTGATAATGATGTGTTAATGTGGAGCCAAATGTACGACTCTGGTGCCGGATGTCCACTCAATTTTGCTGTGAACTTAAAACTGCTCCAAAAAATAAAGTCTTATTTAAAACCAGTTTTTTTAAAAAAGTAAATTCTCACTCAGGCCACAACATGGATCAACCTTGAGGATATTCTGCTCAGTGAAATAAGCCAGCCATGAAAAAGAACAAATACTATATGATTCTACTTATATGAGGTACCTAGAGTACCTACTTTCATGGACATAAAGTAGACTAGTAGTTGCCAGGGGCTGGGAGTACAGAGTTTCAGTGCTGCAAGATAAAGAGTTCTGGAGACTTGCTGCACAACAGTGTGAATGTACCTAACACTACTGAACTGTATGCCTAAAAGTGATTATGATAGGAAATTTATTGTTATGTATATTTTCCAACTAAGTTTTTAAATTACCCTTTACATCTGTGTAATTTCTGTGCAAAGAAGTGACTAATCTTACAGAATACTATAGTTATAATTTTGCATACTATTTGATGATTATTTTAAAAAATAAATTCTCTTTTTTAATAATATTAAACTCTTCAAGGTAAATGCTGGGTCAAAGGCATATGTATTTTAAATTCTGACGTACGATGAAAAGCTGAGTGCTTTAGTTGTACACCAACACCATCTCTCATGTTAATACAAACCCACACAAACACATACACACATTTAAAATTTGACTATCACGTAACAGTACACAGCACTACACATCTGGAGTTTACCAAAAAATGTCAACCACATGGATATAGAAATATGACTTCTATGGCTACATGTAAAAAGAACGTAATTATTTATTTATATAAAATTTTTCTCTTATTTGATCCTACTCTATTATAGAAGTCTTTCTCCATCCTGAGATCTTCTGATTCTAAGATCCTTTGTTCCTCTGAGTAACTGTTCTCTTAAACTAATCCCGCTATGTCTTTATTTTTCAAATGATTTGTTTCTATGTAGATAACCAAATCTTTACCTTTCTGAGGTCTTTGAAAACATGGTAAAATGTTAACATTTGGAAAATCTGGGTAAAGGGTACGTGGGAATTCTTTGTACTGTTTTTGCAACTATTCCAAAAGTCTGAAATTATGGCAAAATTAGAAAAGAATGTTTAAACTACCTGATAAGCTGCCCTTCCATATCCTATTTTATGTGAGTTTCAGAATATCCAAGGGAATATATCCTAGCCCCCAGATCTGTACTAACCTAAAATGCAATTTAACACACTAAGTCACACAATTAAATATATGGGAGGAAGATATCATTAAAATGTTATTTTTCCATCCATTTCACTGTTTTCAAGACAAACTGCTTAGGGCATTTTAGAATTCTGAGTACTTTAAAATTATTTTTAAATGATTTGGGATTAGATGGCACCTAATTGCTTTTCAAAGGGATTTGCAGGCCATGCACTTGGCATAATGGATTTCAATTCTTTGCTCCAGAATGCAGTTCACAGCATAAATCAATAGGGCTGTCTGCTTCACAGGCTTGCCATTTCTGCCCAGGGCCTCATCTCTTTCCACTTCTTACCCTATCCCATTCTTCAGCCTCTCTATTTTTTTTTTTTTGAGGGAGTCTCACTCTATTGTCCAGGCTGGAGTGCAAGTGCAGTGGTGTGATCTAGGCTCACTGCAACCTCCATCTCCTGGGTTTAAGCGATTCTCGTGCCTCAGCCTCGCGAGTAGCTGGGATTGATTACAGGAGCAACACCAAGCTTGGCTGATTTTTGTCTTTTTGCAGAGTTGGGGTTTTACCATATTGGCCAGGCTGGTCTCGAACTCCTGACTCACGTGATCTACCTGCTTTGGACTCCCAAAGTGTTGGGATTATAGGCATGAGTCATCATGCCTGGTCTCTCTAACCATTTTTATTCAGAACACTCTGTAAAAAATCAAAGGCAAAAGTATTTCTGACTTATGAATGATACTTATAATGTTTCCATAAAACCATAAAGGAAGCAGGCTGGTTAATGCCAGATATGACTGATAGGTCATATGACATATTGCTGGACATCATCAGACCCTACTCCCCCAAGTCAATTTAGTGAAGCATTTTAGCTTTCCTCCATGAGGAGTTAGATTCCTCGAATAGCTAAAGTGATGTGAACTGCCAAAAGGTGAAAACATACTAAGTATTCTGCATTTTATAAGCAGCACAGTATCACCAAAAAAATTAGAACCCCTGGACAAGTTACTTTACCTCTAAGCTACAATTCTATCAATTTTTTTAGATTAAAAAAAAGACTACCTATTCTCAAAAAAAATGATATGAAGATTAAATGAGATAATCCAGATAAAGTAAGGAACACAGTGCCCAGTAATAAGTACCTGACATTAATTATAATGCTGATGCCAGAATCTCAATGTCTTCCTGATTCTATCCTCCCTGAGTCATTACCTGACTAGTTCTACAAGCACTGGGCCTCGATTTCCTCATTTTTAAATTAGACAGTCATTTCTGAGGATATAGTTTTCTTAACTGTGTAAGAGACTGAATCAGGATCTAAAAAGCCGTATATTAACTCCAGCAACTGAAATAATGTTCTCCTAGACATAAAATAAGGAAACTATAGGAAACCAAGGCCCCTGACATAATTTCACAACAGTGCAAAAATGAAGAGGCAGCAGATGGACCTGAGAGTGATTCGTCTGAACTGATATGAAAGGTAATAAAAACACCAGCAACACATAAGGACCTGTGACTCAACCACATCCAAATAAAAGGGCATATCTGTCCATCACCCAGAGCCAGCGGCATTCAACAGATTAGTTAATACTTCATTTAAAAAAAAAATTCCCCAAAACAGTAACTTAACATGGTAACCATTTTACCAAAACCTTTCTTAGCCTGGATCATCACCTGGGGGTACAATATATGCTTCATCTGAAGGTACTTCTTGGACACAGTGGCTCACACCTGTAATCCCAGCACTTTGAGAGGCCAAGGTGGGAGGATCGCTTAAGCCCAAGAGTTCGAGACCAGCCTGGGCAATACAGGGAGACTCGCCTCTACAAAAAAATGAAAAATTAGCTGGGCATCATGGCCCCTGCCTGTAGCCCCAGCAACTCAGGAGGCAAAGGCAAGAGGACTGCTTGAGCCTGGGAGGATAAGGCTTCAGTGAGCCAAGACCGCGCCCCTGCACTCCTGTGCAAGTGACAGAGCCAGACCTTCTCCCTTAAAAAAAAAAATTAAATTAAAAAATCCTTTACTATATAAACTACAAGAGGTTGGGTGGGGGTAATCTGGTACAGAAGCGTTCCTACTTTTGTACTGTACCAGTATGGGTGGGTTAGTGGAAGAGAACACAGAAAAAGATTGTCTTGGCCCAGAGCACCCTGGTACTTGTAGTCAATAACACCTAAGGAGCTATTGGAATTTAAAGGAAATGTCCTAGGGAGTTAAATTTAGTCTAATCCACATATAATGGATGAGATTAAGTGTAGAGTATTTTAAAAATCAAAGTAGAAAGAACAGCAGGCCAGGAAATCTAATCAAAGTGTAACTAAATGTAAAAGAAGGCATTAGTGTAATCAATAGCATTATCATATCAAAAGAAAAACCGGCAAGAACTGCCTAAAGGAAAATCTGAGACCTAACCTTTGTCTACAGTCCAAATGCAGAACAAAAAAACCTAGGTAAATGCAACTTACGTTCTTGGACATATCCAGAATATAAACTGCATAACTTGGATAGAAATTTTACCTT